GCTTTCTGAAGAGCTTCTGCTTGTCTGGCTTGTTCCTGACCAAAGGATATGAAGAATGTAAATGAAGAAATGAACTGCTGAAGGACCTCGGCAGCAACTCGGGCATATTCGTCTGCCTTCCCATCGACACAAAAATAAATCTGTATATATATATATATATGAAACAATGGGATGACAATGGCCTGGGCTTGCTGAAGAGCTTCTGCTTCACGTCTGGCCTTGTCCTGCACGGAGGATGTGAATAACATAAGTTGGAAGTGAACTGAAGGGCCTCTGCAGCAACTCGGGCATTCTCTTCCACCTTCCCAAAACAGATGAATTCAATTTATGAGACCATGGGCTGACCACTGCCTGAGCTTTCTGCAGAGCTTCAAGTTTGGCGGTTTCCTGCGCGGAGGACGTGAACAATGTGTTGGTGTTTTGCTGCAACAAAAATTAAAGCGTAAATCAAAAGGACCTCTGCAGCAACTCGGGCGGTCTCGTCTGCCTTCCCAAAACAAAAAAACAAAATCAATCTATGACCCCGCAGTCTGACCACTGCCTGAGCTTTCCGAAGAGCTTCAAGAGCTTCTGCTTCACGTCTGGCTCTTGCCTGCAAGAAGAACGCAAACAATTTAAATCAATCAATGAACCACTGAAGGACCTCCGCAGCAACCCGGGCATTCTCTCTTGCCTTCCCAGAATTGAAGGTAACATAAGTTCAATCTGTGAGACAATGGTTTGACGACCGCCTGAGCTTTCTGAAGGGCTTCTGCGTCTGCCTGTCCATAAACCAAACAAATATTCAATCTGTACGGTGGTATGTATATGTATGTATTTATACATACATATAGTTCAAGAATAATATTAGACAAAGACCTGACCACTGCCTGAGCTTTCTGAAGCGCTTCCTGTTTTGCTTTCTCCTGCAAAGAAAAAGCAGTGTAAGTAATTCGCGCAGAAGAGGGTTGGTGGAGCACCTCTGCAGCATCTCTGGCTTTCTGTTCCTCCTCCAAACGCCAATTTCTAGCTACTTGTATGAGACTGAGAAATTACTGTGGACCCTCACCTGTGCCCTTTGAAGAGCTTCAGCTTCACCTCTGCGTGTTTCCTGCGTTTAGGAACGAAACACCATGAGCCATGACTGCCACTTAAAGTTTTGCTTGCAAAGGTCTGTCAACAAAGCACACCATCACCAGAAGCCTCTGACTCGATCGATGGTGGGCTGGCCGCGCAAGGAGCTGCAGGGGAAGCACCTTCCTGACCAAAGCTGTTGGAGCACGGTTGAGAGTGATTTACAATGTTTATTGGGTTGGTATTTATTGGGTTGGTATTGCTTGGCTAATCAAAAACCAAAACACTATCAAAATGTACAAGACCCAAACATGGCTCTCTCTGCTTCTTGGGGTCATGGACTTCCAAAACCCTTCCAAGGCGGAGTGCAATTATAGTGCACCCAGCACTGAACAGGTGCATCGCTTCAGGGTGCGCTTGTGCAACTTCTTCCCGCGCTGTCGGGCCAGAAGAAAGTAACTCGCAAATACAGTATGGGGAAGAAGCACTGTAGCCATTGATGAACTTAACGAATGGTGCAAGGCGGAGATTTGAAATACGTGTGGAGTCTACTCTGTACTCGGTAGTCTTTGCACCAGAGCATATCTGATCAAAATATGGGCGCGCAATGGTCAAACATTTGAGTCCACAATATTTCTCCTTCTCCAAGATCGTCTTGTTGGCCCAGACTTGCCCCTGGAGAGGTTCAATTCAATCATGGGTGAAGCGCAATATGAACAATATGGATCGCTGGCCCTGCCTCTCCTGGCGTGTCCCACACACTGCCAGGCTTCTTCCATTTCCGCAAATCCGAGACGGGAAGAGATGGCCCAAAGACCTGTCCAAAAGAACATGGTGCGCAACTCAAGCCAAAGGACAAAATGTAAAGCCTCTGCATCACCAGGCTGAGTCTCAGCCCCGAACCTTGGAAAGAATACGGATTCTGTGAAATCTATCGTTTCCCTTCAAAAAACATTAAGCGCCTGGCACATCTTCCATGTCTTGAGTGCCACCATGTGTGGCCATCGTGGGCAAGGAGTCCTCCATGGTGGCAGGAACTGGGGGAGCCATAGTGGGCGTGACCGCCGCCGCCATGAGGCCGCCCGCTATGGATGGATCAGGTCGATCCATGCTGTCCAACAGCTCTTGTTTGACAGCCATGATGCCCAGCACTGCGGGAATCACACAATCTTCATCCCCAAAATCACGAAATGAGACGGCGTTTCACCCGTGACCAAACCGTGACCACCCGTGACCTACCCGTGACCTCAACATACGTTCCTTTACATAATATCATCTTCGCGACCCCGTGACCACCCGTGACCACCCGTGACCACCCGTGACCCCAAGAATGTATTTTTGGGATCACAGCAAAACACCCCTCATGATAGTTTGTCAGTGGCACGGTCACGGGTAGAATGCACAAAGTGAGAGAAGTGATTCGCAAAGCTTTTCATTCCACCGCACGATGAACAAATGTCCAGGTCTCTAATCAACCACAACGGTTCGTGTGGCATCGATCCTGTGACGACACCATAGCAATGTCCCAGTCAAATATGGTCTCACAACATCGTATGAGGATGATGCACTGAAGTAATTCACTAACTCTGCCCTCATCACACGTGGGCTCAAGTCACCGCTCAGGGCCAAGAAGTATTTCCGCCGGTTCCACCTGGCATCAGCAAAAACTTCATATGTGTAGCTATATAGGTCTTATGTAAACACGCTGGTTTGACCCAGAAGAACGTAGCCGCTGGCTGGCTTGAACCCACCATGAGAAATAGGCGGAGCCAAAAGCAGGAGGGTAGTTTTCTGTTTGCTTCAAACCTTCACCTCCAACACAACGTCGTTGTCCATGCTGATCCAAGTACCTGAAACACAAACATGACCATCTATCAAAAGCATTCCTGAAACACAAACATGACCCATCAAAAGTCACAGTTGGGGCAAGGAGCGTATATGCTGTTGGCGCAGATCCAACTCTCTCGGAAACCACCGGTGGGGCGGTCAGAGAGACCTCTTCTGTGCTGTAAAGGCAAATAGGCTTCTGAGTAGCAGCGCCAAAATCGAAAAGTTCAAAGCCCATTTCTTTCAGCGCACACTTTCCTTACAGAAGTTTGAAGCAAACACCTTCCAACAAAAAACACAACATCTTTGCCAAGCACAAACTGATGTTTCTGCCCAGTGGCCAAACATCAAAGATTGTTGCATGGCAGCCAAGTACTGGACCAAGGCTTGCAAAGCCGGGTGAAGAATTAGAGCAGACCCCCTTGGCTGCTCCAAGGTCGGTGTGCATCCACGTAGCCATGCCACCCACATGTACGCAGCCTCAGAGCCAAAAAAAGATCTGGCCACACAGTCTGATCACGGTCATGTGAGATATGACTTTCAGAGAAGCAACTGTCACTGCAGCCAAAGTGTTGCCAATCTCCACATATTTGTGCTCTGTTTGCCCAAGTGGTAACGCTGCAGTGCGTTTATGCGTTCCAGAATTTATCCAGCAGAACGAGGTGCAAACTGTACCAGAATGCAGAGGGCTGCCAACAACTAATTGCAGCACAGATATCATCCCCAGCACTATGCCTATTGGCGAGGTGAAGTCATGTTCTGAACAGCGCTGAATGTCAAAGGCCCTGCTGAGAAACCCAGCATTTGTGAACGCTGCAGCTATCACCGCCTTTCCACAAAACAGCTCGATGAAATACAGGTGATCATTGGTGGCCTCACAGGGTCAACGCGGCCAATGCATTGTGCAGGTGTTTGTGCTACAATGTGTCTGTACACCCCTACACACACATCTCCCCAAGCTTCCAACACGGTGACCTTCACGGATCTTAATACACATCTCTGTAAATGAATTAAAGGTACATCTCTTCAATTAGATGTCAAAAACGCATTGGTTCAATCGCGCTCTACAAACATCACATCGCAATTTGCCCAACCACCTGGATGCATTCCAATGACATCAGCACATAACAGTACAGGCACAGCTCCACCACAGATGGGGGCACTCTACCCTTTGCTTGGCCATACAGCTCCCGGAGCTGCAAAGTATCCAAGCGAAGCAAGCACCATTCCAGAATAGGCAGGGGCATGAGTTGGCCAGGCTCGAAACCCATACTGAAAACAACATTTCAACAAAAACGATGGACCTGACTGGACTGACTGTTTGTCCTGTTGGCTGATTGTCTGATTGTGAAAATTAAACAGGTCACACAGTGCTTGCGCATATAAAGCCTGAAGAGGCAGCAGACAGCAGCTCTTCAATGTTCACTTGACATGTGTCCCAGTTTGCATTGCAAGCTTGCGCACAAATCTCTCTAAAGGAGGGCACTTGGACAGGAATCTGCATTGGTAGGCCGGCCTGCGCAAAACTCAAAATGAAACTTGATGAACACCAATTGATAGAATTGTTGAGAAAATCGTGGAAAATCTACCAATGGTGTTGATGAGAAGCGTTGAGAGGCTTGCAGCCTACAACAATATAATTCAGACCGCTCCTTTTCACGAGAAGAGCGCATATATTTGTTTTGTGAGACACTCAAAGGATTCTAACCTTCAGGGCGCTTGTTGCTCTTGATCTGCTCAACAATGTCGGTGACCTCCTTGACTTGCATCTTGCCAGAGTTCAAGTCAGCTGCCAGGCCATTCATTTGGACTTCAGCGTCTGGAATCACAGTTTCCAATAGCTGGCACAGCTGCTTCTTTGCCTTGCGGTCATGCAAGGCAAAAGCCGTTGCCTGGCCCTTTCTCTTGTGGCGCTTTACCACATAAGTCTCGTCAGAGGGTTTCACTGCCTCCTTCGCCGTCTCCCTCTTTTCTGTCGCCAATCTCCTCTGGGCTGCTGGGTCAGGTGGCTTGGCCTTTGCAGCTGCTTCTGCAATTTCCTGGGCCGTCAATGTGACAGGAACGAATTCCAAATGATGAAGAAACACAGTAGACTGACAAGCAACATACAAATATTCAGGCGGTTGGTGCAGCAATTCAAAGGGCTGAAACTCCTCATGAAAAAAGATTGAAGAGGTTGGCAAGCGCAACACAAGCCGTCCTCAAAGGGCGCAGTCTTTGGATCAACCTTTTCGGCCTTAAGCAGCGCGCTCCATATGTGGCAAGCCCCCCACTGCAAAATCCGTGGAAATGGAGCCCCTTCAATAGGTTTGCGCTGGTGGCCAAGGCCTCATCTCCACGAAGGGCTTTTTGTTTCCTGCTTCTCGGACTCTTGGCCGCCTCCACACAAGATCAGCAAAACAATCCAACTGCAATCAGCACACAAACTGCACAGGTCAGCCTTCTCCAGAAATGTTTTTCTCTCCAAACACTAACTGTGGCCTGATCACTCCATTTGGCCCCTTGCGCGGCTTTCTCCTGAGCAGTAACAAACAATGTAATGTACTCTACAGACCTTGAGTGGAAAAGGAACTGCTAAACAACCTCTGCAGCAATTCTTGCTTCCTCTTCTGCCTGCCCGGAATACCAAATGATTAGTCAAATGATTCAATGCCTGTCCTACCGGCACGTACACAGGAGACAGCCAACGTGATCGATGACCTATTAATGAATGAAACATTGTACCACCTCTGCTAATCAAGTTTCCCTTTCTTTCATGTGAGGCAGTGAGTTGCAATGGCCTGAGCTCGCTGAAGAGCTTTCGCTTCATGTCTGGCTTTCTCCTAGATGCAGGACACAATCAACCTAGTTTGTTGGACACCACTGGAGAACCTCTGCAGCAATTCTT